AAGAAATTTTATCAACTGTAATCGAAAAAGCTATTACTTTTTTTATTCAATTTGTTGAACAATATCAATAAAAGTGGTTCCAACTAAATGAAGAAAAAAAATAGTTACTAAACCTAGTAAAAAAAAGACAACTAAAAAAATAACAACTAAACCAACAACAAAAAAAAACAAAATCTAGAAAAAAAACAACCAAAACAACAAAAATAATAAATACAATACCAATAATTAAAAAGAATATAATAGAAAAAAATAAAAATTGTAATAATAGTTGTAGATGTTGCTATATCAACGAACCAGGACCCTGTAGTTCAAGTTGTACTTGTTGCTTCTCTGCTATAAATAAAAATATTTTTACAATAAGATTAGAATAAATGGCTAAACCACAAGTGAGTTTTTGTATACCAATAGATGAAGAGTTAACTGAACTTGAAAAAACCTGTGATATAAAAACTTATACAGCTGAACAAACAAAATATAATTCTTTTATTCAAAGAAGAAAAAAATAGAATTAATCTCAAGACACCAGCACTAACAGCACAAGAACAGAGTACTTTACTTAGATAGCCTTAACTTTATTATACATTTTCTTTATTATTTCAAGATATAAATTTCAATCAAAATATAACAAATAAATATATATTAGATTTCTATCAAATCATGTGATTAAATGTCTTTGGATATGAGAATTCAACAATTGATTTAACTCAAATTGGTGGTGTTAATCAAGGAAGTTCAAGATATGAATTTCTATTAGTTCAAGCACAAGAGGGTCAAGATGTCAATGATACGTATACAATTAATCTAATCAGAAAAACTTTTAATATCAGAGCATTAATTCTTCAAGTGGGAACAACTTGTGAATTACCACTTAGTCAAGCAGTAGTACCAGATAATAGTCGTTTACTAGTAGAAAATGTATTCGAAGATATTAATGATTTAATTAACAGTCTAGTCAAATAAAATTATAATGTTGTATATGATAAAATCGGACAAATAGAATGTTCAAAATATGATTATGAAAAAATATTATATTTTATATAGAAGATAGAAAAACAATGGTGTCTTACCTATACAAATAATGCACAAAGAAATGCATTTGTTCAATTTAATACAGGATTTTTCTGGTTTATAACTGCATTGGATATCAATGAATCATTAAGACATTTAAAATATATGAGTGATGAAGATGAAAGGTTTAGATATAATCTTGGTGCTGCTTTTGCTCCTTCACATACAGATGGTTATTTAAGAGGGCCCTGTGCTACAGTATTATTAAAATTTAATCAAACATATAGATAGATTGATCTTAATCAAAATTCTGCTTTAGCAATTACAAGATTGAAAGATCAAATTAATGAATTAAACCGAAAACTTGAAGAAGATACTGAAGAACATGAAAAGAAAAAATAAATATTTTTATTATTTGTTATTTGTTTTTTTTTATTATTTAATTAATTAATATTTAAGAAATAATACAGATAAATCAAATCCAATACCAATTTCTTTACCCGAAGATGATAATAGACAACCACCTATATCAATTAATACTCTAACTACAACTATTAATCTACTCACAACAACAATTAATACTCCAACTACAACTATTAATTTACCTATAACAACAATTAATACTCCAACTACAACTATTAATACACCAATTGTAGCTACTCTTTTAACAAGACCAACTAATTTTCCAAAAATTATAACAACAGAAACATCTACAGCAAGTAAACTATCAACAACTTTAATAACAACAACTATCAAACCTTCTTTTGTAAAACCAACATCTATAACAACAACTTTATCAACTCCAAAGATTAATTTTATTAGTTGTCCAATTTGTAAAAATAAATTTAAAGAAAATAAAATTAAACTACATTTAAAAGAACATATTAAAAATTTTTTATTAAAAGATACTGTTCGTGATAAACTAGGAATGAAAAAACAATTAATTGTATTTGATAAAATGAAAAAATTAGTTAGTAAACTTACAGATATTCAAGTTAAAGAACTTATTGATAGAATTCAAAAACTTATTAAAAAATACGGAGAAAAATTTATTGATTATATTTCTAATGAAATGAAAGAACAAATCTTATATAACTTTGATAAAATAATAATTGGTATTATAGGTTCTATTATTAGATTTTCAAATTTATTTGTTTTTTTTTATAAATTTTATTTTTAATTTTTATATAAATATTGTTTTATTTTTATTTTTTTTTAAATAAATTAAAATAACAACAACTTTATTATCAGAAAGATTAATTAATCTAAATAAAGAAAATAATGATCTTAAAAATGAAAATAATGACTTATCACTTATTAATATAAAACTACAAGATAAAATTAAAGAACTAAGAAAACAACTTTTAGGTTATCAAAACTCTGATTATATATCATTAGAAGTAGAAAATAAAAATTTAAAACTTGCAAATGAACAACTTTTAAACAAAATACAAGAACTAAAAAAAATAATACAACAACATCTATTGTTATTTCTAAAGATAATAAAAGCTTTCAATTAAAATTAAAAAACTTTCTACATTAATTGATTACTTTTCAGTATTTAAAAATGAATTCGAAAAATTTTTATCAACAAAAAATTCTAATAAATTATATATTTAGAAAATAGTACTATAGTGTAAACCTATTCTCGAAAGGTTTCATACATATTATTTTTGGAATACTTGTTGTCTTATACAAAAAAATAATATTGTTTGTTCACTTTCAAATGAAAAATTCATTTTTTATTTTTTTGAAATACTTTTTTTTATTTTAACTTTAAATACAATAATATATATATTTAAAATTTTAACATTAACTATTATTTTGAGAATTTGGGTTGGTTTGACTAGAATAGGTTACTTGTTTTCACTAGCTTTTATCTATTTTTATAAAATTTTAAAATTCTTAGTAAAAATTATTAGACATGTTTGTAAAAATTGTTGTAATTTTTATTGTAAAGTATTTTGGTAGTTTATTTTCTTCTTCTTCTGCTCCTATATATTTATATTTGTTATTTTACCAAAATTCATAGCATGGTTAATAGTATCTGAAAAAATATAAATTAGTTAATAATTCTAATAGTTATATACCATGATTAGCTGCTAGCTTTTAGCTATGGCTTGGCTTGCAACAATGATCCTCTTAAACTAATTTGGACTAAGATCAAGAGGAAAAATCGTTAGTATAATTTTTTTGTTTAATAATTATTTATATTTATTTAAATTAAATAAAAATTTAACTAGTTATCAAATTCTACAAAATCTT